AATCTCAGTCAAAATATATATATACAAGTACAATTACAAATCATTACAAGTTACAACTAGCCTACTCAATATTTGTTGGTAAAAAATTAATAAATTCAATTACCTACATAAAGATTACAGAATGATATTAAAAGGTTAGGCCTACAAAATAGGTGAACAGTTCACCTTAAACAGTTGAACGATTAACGATCGAGCGTAAGTCGTGACATGAAAATTTACGAAGTCAAAACGACAAGATTTCAAATAAAATGTTTAAGATTTAAATCAGAACCTAACTTAGGCACTAGGGGCAAATTTAGAATGAAAGGCCGAATAAGTAAATTTAGAGACAAAGATTAACCAATTGTGCCCACTAGGCCGGTCAAGAAAACTGAAATAAATTCTAACTAGGCTAGGCCGAGTATCAAAATTATTACACTAAGTTTAAATCACAAAGGAACTGCTGACACATTAAAGAATTAATTGAAAGGTTTTAAAAAAAGACATTGGATATTTGTGACAATTGAGGCTGGACCGAGGATGTCCCACACACTATTTAACAGTTTGACGAGTAGAACGGAACGTATCAAAATGGAGTTGAAATTTGTTAATTTGGCTAGTAACTGAGTCTGTAATAGGCCAGAGTAATAATGGAACAACACCACCTGGCATAACTGTAGGATGGTCACAGTAGGTAGGCTTCCACCGATGACAACCTGCGATGTGGCGCAGCATGGATCACCAATAGGATAGACAGCCCAAACTCCGGCAGCAGAGTCCAAACTCCGGCAGCGCTGTCCAAACTCCGGCAGCAGTAGCTTCTTACATGGTCAGCAGGATGTGTGTGTGTGTGTGGTCCTCGGTCCTCTCTTCATGGCCTCGTCACAGGTCTCAAATCAGGCTGGTGTCAGTCATAGCCGGGAGCCCTTTCAACATAATTCACATCCAATAATATCTTGTAAAACACAGGCCTACTTCAATTACAGGTTAAGGTAGCACCCTTGATTGAAAATCTGTACTAGGCCTAGGCCATAGTTTGACTCTTGAAGAATATGAACTTCTACTAGTTAGGCTAGTTTTAAACAAAATTCAGTCTTACTGGTAACAAGGCTTAGATAGTGTGAAGCCCTAGCCTACATCGTAAAACTAACATAAAACAGTACCACTTGCAGTCGTTACCCAAAAATTACTTTTACAACAAAATGACCCTACATATATAAGATAATACACTTAAACAAAGAAATTACACTTGAACAAAGAATCTACACTTGGACAAAGAATAGGCCTAGCCTATAATAAATTTCACATTTCTCTAAACCTAGGTTCGATTCAGGTGAGAGACCGTACAGTCCCAAGTCTCAGATCCAAGGACCTAAATAAATCGCTGAAAGTTTACTTGACTTAGAACAAAGTAATTACTCACCATAAAATACTTAAACAAACTTACCACAACTGAAAATAAAACTTTAACATTGTGGCCACACGTGGTAATCCTGCCAGTGTGTGGAGCAACAGAAAAAACTAACTCAATTGATTAATTAACGATAAAATCACTTACCCAACATAATCAATATTTACGAAGACATGTTTGTAGCTCGCCCCTTTGATGAACTTGAAGACAACATAGTGTCCGAAGACGACATGGTAACTTAAATTCAACTTCCAACGAGAAAAGGGGAAAAAGATGTCGAGCAGTAGACGTAACCCAAGAAGAAGACTGGCTGTAGCCGACAACCCAAACGGCCCCACAAAACCGGAAATTGACGAGAAAACTGGAACGTTGGAACGTTCGAGAACCTTCTAGAAGCTCAACGGCCTGCGAATGAAACAAGCGGACACTTCCGCCTAAAAAAAAACTTATATGTAATAGAAGACCTGAGCCGTCAACTCGCACGGCTCAATGTATATTATAATTTCGAAGGTTATTTTTTATTTATTTCCCTAAAATAATTTGGCCGAAAAACCTCAAAAATGGTTAGTTTAATAAACTGTTAAGATTCTGTAATACGTATCGTCACTATTGACACTCAAACTGTTTCAATATCGGAAGAGATGTTAAATGATTTCAGGTATTAAATGTAAAAAATTGTAAAGATACGATCAGATAGTGAACTCTGTGAATCTCGGAAATGAAGTCTGTCAGGTGGCGAATTGATGTTTCCAAAAATACGCCACAGATATTCGTTTGACGTCACATCATTATCGTCCATTTCACACTTTGATATGAGATTCCCGATCAAATGAAAGAGTGATGCTTCATCTGTGTTAAGTGATATGCTGTGATAAAAGGAAAGGATTGATGTTAACGGTAATGTAGAGCTGTAGAGTTAACGGGGTTATTTACAAATTCCCAAATATTTGAGTTAACTGGACCAATGGACATGTTTAACGAACTAAACTCCGGAAGGTGATTGAACTCTTTAATTATCATTGAGTAAATTTGCAATAGGAGGAAAAGTGAACTAATTCTAAGCGACTCTAACACTATAAACGCTTAACTAATTTTAAATATTTTAACGTGGCCCCGGAATCGTGTACCTTTTATCGCTTTAGGTGTAAAAGTTAAAACTTTAGTTTCGTTGCAACTTTATATTTCACTTGTTAGTATTCATGAAATAGATCAGAAAGGGGAAAAAGCTTAAGACAATCCTTTCTGTCTTGAATTGTGAATATTTGGATTTAAAACTATGGGTTTTTTATTTTCTCCTAACATACAAAGTATATAGAGAAGTATTGTTTTCGTCAAAAATTTCGAGTTTGAGTTTTGAGTGGAAATATCCGTTTTGGGTCCACCTGAACCCAAACAAGTGGATTTCGAAAGGATGTCTCACCGTGAGTGTCTCTATGTGTGGATGTGTACAGAGCTACAGACCACACCTGTAGTCCGATTTGGATGAAATTGTACATGTAGGTACTAATCCATCCTATACCCAGGTGTTTATTTTTATTTTTTATTTTCAAATTTTGATTTTTTAATGGTGATTTTACCATAACTTCCAAAAAATAACGGAAAAATTGGATTTTCTCGAAGATGGCCTGAAAGATTTTGATTGCCATTTAAAATGTTATAGTCTTTTAAGTTTTGAACAAAATGTTACAACTCCTATTTCTGTAAAAATTACGGTTTAGAAAATATTGTAACTTATGTTATTTTCCCATAAAATAACCAAAAATCTGATTTTAGTATAAAAGTGTTTAATGATCGTTATAATAAAAAAATGTGAAACCGTAAAAACTACGGTTCAAAAGCTAATGCAACTTCTGTGATTTTACCTGTTTAATATCATAGTTACCCTGATCGCTTACCCACAAAGGTTATTGAAAAATTAATGGGGGAAAGTATGTGTCAGACTGCTGAATTTTTTATTTCACATTGCTTCAGTAAATCGTTCACTTTTAAATAATAAGAAAATATACTGGCTGACAAGAATAACCACTTTTATTTGGTAACAAGTCTTTTAAGATAACTGAAGGAAAGATACTCAATAAACCTTAGACTTTTTGGCATCGGATTATATCAGATTAATATCATTAGGATTTTAACTCAATATCAGTAGATGCAACTTTTTGGCTTTCATTGAATCCAAGCAGTTTATTTTTTTACGATTCAAACGGAGCATAACGTACACCAAAATAATGTGGTACACATACCACGACGCAATGGTGCCATGGGTGGTCTAATCAAAGCAAACAAATTCTACATTGTAGGTAACACCATATATTTGAACCGCTTGAACAACATTTTATCCCTTCTTAATTTTATGATTTTTCTCCCACTTAATGACAAATAAGGTTTTAAAAGATTGTATTTTTTGGACAATTATGAAGGACGTTTTCCATCACTACTAGAATAAAAATATTTCATGACGGTTCGGGGTCTACTGTAGAATCTGATCCCGTCCTTACTTAAACTGATTAGTTGTGTACCTTAAAAAGAATCCTGAAACGTTATAAAAACTAGTTATCAATCAATCAATTATCAATTATTTAAGATGGGGACGCCACTATGTGCGTACTTTAACCCAAATATGAGTGAAGGATGAATGTAGGATAAGTGGCGCGATCTTGTAGTCTTGTTAGTAACTAAGGCCGACATATTCCTTAGACACATCTGTTAATTAATAGCCCAAACAGGTAATGGCAACTAAGGGACCTAGAGTTTATGGTGGAATTTGAACCACATTCTTGCCTTGGTATTAGTCAAATTGGTCTAGTTATCAGCATAGTACTACGGATAGTCGTAGTACTCACTAGTGCGGACGTTAATCCACAGTGCATCTCTATAAATATCCACAATTCGTGACCTCCTAGTAGCTGGATTACAGGACGGCGCCACCGTCCCAGTTGTAGGCCTACTCAAATCGGATGATTCATAAAGTGTTATTGCTTATTGTTACTTTATGATTACATATTAACATTAATTAAAATGACCCTGTGATAGAAATAAATAGTGTTAAATCAATGCAGGATGTTATAATTGAAAACTAAATATCGTTGGTTTTCCAATATACGGTTTCTAAACCGTTTTAATTTATATGTCTGATTCAACACAACAATCTATCTGCCCGTATTCTTGTTAGTGACTAAGGCCGACTTGTTCCTTAGACACAGCTGTTAATTAATAGCCCATACAGCTAATGGCAACTAAGGGACCTACAGTTTATATTGGAATCCGAACCACATTTTTTCCATGTAATTTACGAATTGGTCTAATTATCAGGATAGTATTGCGGGTAGTCGTAGTACTCACTAGTTATCAGCGATCGTAACAGGCCTAAAGCAACGTAAACTTTATATTACCAAAATATAACTAAAATAACTTTATTGAACAATTTATTACATTTCCAAAGATTTGCTTGAAAAATTCCCTCCAGTTTCCTTGATCACCCGCGCTTTTCGACGCCCAAGCCGCTGACCCCGTCCCCAAGGTGCCGTTCCTCTAATTGTAACCTGACGCCGTGACGCCCCCGCCTCTACGTCACGTATAAGAGCAGCGCCGCGGCGCCGCCCTGTCTGTCAAGATGCGTCCCCACGTTGTGCTGCTGGCTGCTGGGCTCCTCTACTGCCTGCAGACTTTGTCCGCCGCCACCGTTATATCAGTACCTGACGAAGACGGTGAGTGCAGTAAACAAATACAATTTCCCCGTTGATTAGGATAGTTCAGAGCTGTGATTTGTAATGAATCATCATATAGTTAGGTGTTTGTCGAGATAAACTTTTTTTAATTTATTCTACCTACTCGGTATTGTTTTATGCTTGTTCCCACTGCGATGTTAACTAAAAATCTATCACTGTACTTTTCAACGCAAGGCCTAGAATGCTGTTGGGAAGTAACCATTTATTGGTACAATTGACAAAAGATGTTCAATGTTTACTTTTTCATTATTCCTGTATTTTCTTTCTTTTTTTAATGTAACATAGAGATGACTAAATTAATGTGATGATGATGATAGATGAAGAATGTAATTAACAATTAAGATTATATTATACTAAAGTGACTTTAGTGCCGCAGCTTTAGTGTTTCTATTATTTTGTCCCACGCCGTTGTGAAACATGGTGGAGGTTACTAGTGTTAAACAAAAACAGCATTTAACACATAGAACGAGACAAATGTTAAAAACTCAAACTTAACCAAAAGACTTCACACGTAGAAAACGGTATAATATTTTTCAAATTCATTAATGCATTATTTTGTACAGATGTAAAATTTAAGCAAACGATGTCAGTATTTTTTATTGCTAACGTCCAAAATAAGGAAGCAGTACTATTAATAAACTAAGAAACTAAAAAAAAATATATATATATATAAATAAAAACAGTTTAGTATGCATCAAATGACTAATTACGAGGATTTCCTTACTTCCATTCAAGGCGAAAGAATTAGGTTATTTCTAGGGAGCGGGGAAGATAGATTTTTGATTTCGAACGATTTTACTGTCTGCTTTGCATAGAATGTTTTTAGTAACAAATACGCCTAACATTCTAAACAGGTATCTTCCAGTATTACTGTACTTTTTTGTACAAATGACTATTAAAAGTTACTGTTTGCGTGTGTGTGCACAAGGTTGTATGTCAACTAAGAGTTATTGGTGACGGTATTTTATCCATCGGCCGCACAAGTGGTGTAATCTCATACGATATAGGCCCTACCTATATAGATATATAGACTCTGATTAAACCTGTATGACAGTACAACTCTCTAAATGCCGATATTTGTTGCCTTATTAATTTTAGTTACAATTACGCCAGTTATCTAAGTTATTTATTTATATTATATGTTTATTAACTTAGCTATCTTTGAAATCTTAGTTGGCTTTGAAGCTATTTACCTTATTAGTCAAATTATCATGTCAATATTGGAAATTTGTATAAGCATTATTATACAATTCATTTTTAAGCTATTAGTAGGATTTAGGATTTCAGTCAAATGTATACTGTATAGTTGCATAACTAGTGTTGGTTATCACAGGCACCAGCACTATTTATTTTAATATAGGCTATTAAATAAGATAACTTTTGATATATACTTTTTGTGTTTTAATCTTGGTATTTTGGTTACCATAGTCACTAAAATGTATTCATGCTTTATGAAACTTGATTTAGGAGTAGGATTTGTAAGTTATGTACGTTAGTCTTATGTTCAAACCAATATAATGAAAACTTGATTTATTTAAGGGTATAAGTTTTAAATACTAAATAAAATATTTAACTGTAATTTAGGGCTGCTACAATGCCAAGTCGTGTACCCCATCCGCTTTTGAAACATAGCCTTAAACTTTTTTGGGGATTTTGTTGTTTCAAAAAAAATATAAAATTAAGAAAAAATGAAATAATACTAATAACAAAATTTGTATACCAGTTCTTAAGTATCAATATTTTAACACGAATATCAAAAGCCACGCTTTCATGATACAGTAATGATTAAAATGTGTTTGTGCGTTGAAACCCTATTACAACTAAACTAAGAACAAAATGCACCAGAAAACTGGCCATATAATGTATGTTGAAGTACGAAAGTAACCATAATTTAGAAAGCCTTTAAAGAGGCCTATTATACGCAACGTAATGTCGATAACGACCAGGTCGTTATTTGACCCTTCTGCCGTTAATGGAGGTCAACATATCGACCGATAATATTCAAATGTCCGTCTTTGTTGTGAATATTAACGTTAAGAAATTTTGAAACCTAAAATAATAAATAAAATGTAAACTTCCAACACCAGGGGCTTAAAAAAATAAAAATGAATAATAATACTCAAGAAACGAAGTTTTTTAGTCAGCCATGTTCTTGTAACGTTAACTTTAGCTATGACAGTTTATAATGTACTCATATATGGGTAATATTTTCTATCCAGAAAAATGAATTAGTAAATAAATGAGCGGTTTAATAAGGACTGTGGAACTAGAGATCATTCACTGCTTAATCAAGTGGTGTTATATCCAACGTGTCAACAGAAAAAATTGAGTAGGTTTTATTCAAATCAAAAACCTTAAAAGCAAGATAGACTATTTGCTTTTAAAATGTAACTAGCTGTTACCCACGGGCTTCACCCCGTTTGACTTCATAAGTATTAATACAATTATTGATTGGTTAAGTTAAGCTAAAATAAACAAAACAGAATACATTAATACAAACAAATAAGTACAGCTGAGGTATTTTTAACATTAGGTATATGGAAAGTTCTCTTTAGAGTAGAATTACGACCTTAAAGGGCAATTTATGAAATAATGGATAGTTTTGCGCAAGGTTTCTCGTCATGATGAACATTTTAAGTAAATGGTTTATGGGGGTGTGACTTATATTTTTCTCAAAAGTTCATGGGTACGTTTTGCTTTATATATAGATAACCGATTTATTTGATGACCTATACATATGAGTGAATATATAGAGAGAAATTTAAACGATAATTATTTTTGTACTTTATACAGGGTGAGTTTTAAATGAGTACCCCCCTACTTTTTTCTACATTTCTTAAGATATCAACTCCGGACCACGTCAGATCATTGTAGAGTAGTTAGTACTTCATTTTGACTGGGTATACATTTTTGGCCACCATCTTGGATCCGCCATATTGGATACAAAGTTTTTTTTTTCAAATGTAAAGGTAGGGTTGTGATCCATCGATTTAAACTAGATTTTTATGCTGAATACGATGCTGCAATTCGTTTAAAAAAATCATGATCCATTCTAAAGTTATGAGAACTTTTTATAACATTATTTTTAGCCCATTTTAACATTGTGCATTTAGAAACTAAGAACATAATCGCAAAATAGTGCTAGATAAAGATTTATGTATATTATGTGGTGTATACTTATCTTTATCTAGCACTATTTGCGATTATGTTCTTAGTTTCTAAATGCACAATGTTAAAATCGGCTAAAAATAATGTTATTAAAAGTTCTCATAACTTTAGAATGAATCAAGATTTTTAAAAACGAATTGCAGCATCGTATTCAGCATAAAAATCTAGTTTAAAACGATGGGTCACAACCCTACCTTTACATTCGAAAAAAAAAAACTTTGTATCCAATATGGCGGGTCCAAGATGGCGGCCAAAAATGTATACCCAGTCAAAATGAAGTACTTACTACTCTACAATGTTCTGACGTGATCCGGAGTTGATATCTTAAGAAATGTAGAAAAAAGTAGGGGGGGAACTCATTTAAAACTCACCCTGTATATTGAACTTTTATGTTTAAATAAAGTTTTTATATAATATATAAATAATGCGACCTAACATAATTACCTAATATATAATGATTATGCTACCTAACATTATAACGAAATGAATGATTTCGTTGTCGAGATATAATGTATACATTTAACAAACTGTACTTAAAAATAAACACCAGGAGAATTTTATTTAACGTCTCTTGAATCCTGAGTTAAAAACTCTTTAGAGACTCGAGTAAAACACTGAGTGAGTTGAAAATGACATAAATTTCAAAATAATAAAGAACGCACGAATTGAATTACACCCGTCCATTTGTAACGTGGCTGCGGTGAAATGAATCGTCCAATCAGCGAGCAGTATTTATTTTCGGTTCCACAATTAGAGTCAACGTTGATTATTCAACAAGTCCCTGTCAGTTACTGTCATATTTGTTTATAACTGTTATTTCCATCGAACAGGAATCACTGGGAACGTTGTAAGGAATAACTGTGGGGGTGAATATGGTATTTTATTGTAGACTGTGGCCATACTATACAGACTGTCCCAAAAGTCCCGGACCGGTTTAATATTTTCTAAACGACAACAGATAAATCAATAAGATTTTGAACATCAACACCATACTTAAAAATCTACTTTTTTAAGGGACTATCAATTTTCTGTTATATCATGGGGACGTCCCGCAAGGAGTCAGAAGGAAATCTTAAACAGAAGCATAGGTTGACATGCACATCAAATTAAAGACCTTTACTAGTAGATTACAATGCCGTAAATTCAAGCTCAAAAGAACGCCTGAGTAAAAAATGGCAGCCGTTCAAAGATTTCTTGAAACTGCCATTTTGAATCTTTGAACGACTGTCATTTCTTACTCAGGCGTTCTTTTGAGTTTGAATTTACGGCATTGTAATCTAGTAGTAAAGACCTTTAATTTGATGTGCATATCGACCTATGCTTATGTTAAAAATTTTTTCCCGATTCCTAGGGCTGTGCCCCCAAATGCAAATTACATGAATCTTTGAACCACTGTCATTCTTGACTTGGTTGTCCGTTTGAGTTCAAATTTGCGGCATTATATTCTGCTAGTAAAGACCTTTAATTTTATGTACATGTCAACCTATGCTTCTATTTAAGATTTCCTTCTGACTCCTTGCGGGACGTCCCCATGATGTGACAGAAAATTGATATTTCCTTAAAAAAGTAGATTTTTAGGTGTGGTGGTGATGTACCAAATCTTATTGATTTATCTGTTGTCGTTTTGAAAATATTAAACCGGTCCGGGACTTTTGGGACAGTCTGTATAAATAAATCGGTGAAATCTGTGGAAAACCATAACATGTGTATTTCAACTCTATCACAGACAACTTTAACGTTGGCCTCGGAAGAGGATGTTCTTGCAAAAGATACAGTTGATAGATTGTTAATATACTTATTTCAAATTTCAAAGCATCAATGAATGCCAACACATAGATTGCGCCGGTTTAAGCAGTATTTCTCAAACTGGAACATACAGCTTAATTATTGAGCTTCTTTAGCAAAACTACTTTATTTACTTTATTCTACACTAATCCCAAGTATGTACTCAGCTTTAAAAACAATACTGAGAAAACTACCTAACTATTGATAAAGTTGTTTGTAATGATCGGACAAAATAGGTATTCATTTGATTTTGGGCGATATTACTTAAAATCTGTTGTTTTTCAGATGATGTAAATACCGATGTCGACAGCGATGCAGAAATCAGGCTTTTCTACGGAGGAGTAGCGAAGTGAGTATTCGAATACAATATTAGTTTTTAAATTGAAACCAAACAACAAATCAAAGCGCGTTTTCGCTATGCCTCAGTGAAAACAACTGTCTCCAATACAGTACATGCATTACTAGGCAAAAGTAATGAATTTTGTCTTTAAGGTACAAAAGAATAAACTGGAGAAGACATTATTATTTAAATATAAACTTTGTCCACTGACTTACAGTAGGTAACGTAGAAAACACTAGCAGTCCCGATTAGACTAAAGAATATATACCATTGCATCGTTATGAAATTGTATTTGTCTTTTGCATTTTGGTATACCAAATAATTTGTTAACAGTAAATCCATTTAATTAATATTAAGACTAGTCAAACTATATATACTAACTAATGTATACTATAGTATAGTATGAACTATAGTATGATCATAGTTTTTAATACTGTAAATAAAGTATTTTATTATTAAAGTAATACATGTCTCATCTGAGGTTCTTCAAAGGCAAACAATACACACAATTGTTGAACTGCTGTTTGGTAAAAATAGTAAGAAGAAAGCAATTACAAGATGTAACTGAGTAAGGTATTTCATATTCAATACAAAAACATCACCGATATCTCAAACTGTGTATTAGCCTGAACAATAATGGAGAGTGACGAAAAAATAATATTAATCATTACTGGACCCTATATTGTCTTTTCGGCCCTTCACTCAATTTTCGACCTCAACTAACCTTTAGTCGTTAAACTTGAGCTCGTGTCAATAAGACCTTATATACTTTCTATAACGTTTAAACATCTTGTCAGTATAAAAATAACAAAACGGTAGTGCTTTCAGTTAGTTTAAGTTTCACTATTCTTGGATTCTATACTAAATTAGTCAGAAAAAACTTAGTGTTGTTCTATATACTATGATCGTAATATTTAATAGTTTAGTACTCCACAATAATGTTTTGCTAGAACTATTTCAATATATTAGTCTTGTGGCCAACAATTGGTAAACATATATTTCGTCATAAAGTTTGAAAACTAGAATAAACTAGCTTTTGGTATACTTAAAGAAAATTGACTTAAAGTAAAGTTGTGTATTACACTTTACCATCTAAATTTTGGTAAGTGACTTTATACACGATATATAGTTACTGTAGCTCTTTGAAAAGAAAGCGGTTCTAACATTGTTTTACTGTGGATAAAAATTCCTTTTGTAACTTATATTACTAGACTGATAAACTTTGAAGTGGTTTTAAATACATCAGTGTTGCGGTCTTTAATGAAAAAAGAAAGCTCGGATCGAAACGCCATTATATTATTCGTACAAACCAAAGGCGAGAACAGGGAGTGTCAGTGAATTTAAAAAAAGTTTCTTAACGAGCAATCCTAATTAAATGATATGTTACAAAGGTTCTAGTTTGAATTAAGTAGTTGTAGATATTGAGGGGTTTGATTGTCTCTTATGAGTAAACAATATCTGTAGCTACTTATGATCTTGAAGTGGACCGTGAACATACACCTCGTGTTCTAGGAATTACATCACGTGGTCTAGTAGTTACATCTCGTGGTCTAGTAGTTGCATCTCGTGGTCTAGTAGTTATATCTTGTGGTCTAGTGTAGTTACATCTTGTAGTCTAGTAGTTCCATCCACCAATAGCATTTACAGTGGTTACAGCGGTTACAGGAGAAGTCGGTTGATTGATCACGTAGCATTTTATTTTCAATATTTTATTTTAGCTATTTTTTGTTACCTTCAAAAACAATTTTACTACATTTCCTTAGATTAAAATATTTATTTAAGCAAGTTATACATTTTAGAAAACTATTTATTTGAGTAAAACTATGAAATTAAATTAAATTCAAATAAAAACCAAATTTAACTTGAAAGTCTAAAACAAGAATATTCTATGAAAATCACTGTACAGGTTGAAGCAAGGTAATGTGATCTTATTGGCTGGAATGTTCCAGAACTTGTGAATTTTAGCCAATCAGAGAACAGTCCACAGTCAGCATGATTTTTCCAGGTTCCATCCTCATTCTCTGTCTGTCTTGTGAATCAGTAGTTTGCTTTTGATGCATGTGACTATTATAAAATTTGTTGTAATTTTAAAATCCCCCTTTTGGGTAAGTAAGTTTCAAATAAATATATTAATTTGCCTTGCTAAACCTAATTTTTGTAAATAGTCCATATTTATCATTTTATAACCAATTTGTTTGATTTTTTTAGTATAGGTAACTTACCTTTTTATCTTGATATAATTTGCTCTTTAAAGAAATGCATTTAAAGTAGAATATTAATGAGTTTTGGTTCTTTTTTAGGGTTGACGTATGGGACAATTTTGACTGTTTTTAAGTAAAATTATTGAAACAACCCCTTTCCAAGTAAAATATATAATGTTGAAGAAGAGTTATTTTATTTAATAAATTTCAAAGCATGAATATTATTTTACTTATTACCTCCATAAATATATTTTACTAACTTTATACAAATCCAAATTATGTGTAAGGTTACCGGTACTGGGAAGAAATAATTTAGTAACCCTACAATCAGTGGTTTAGTAATCCAGATTTAACTTAATCAGAAGGCTAAGTTTTTGGTAGTTGAAAACTGGATTTAGCTGACCTTAATCATTGGGCTTAATAAATGTTACTGACTAACGAAGCACCTGTAAAAGTAACAAAACTACATCTCTTTCATGCAACCCACATCCTACGTCCGCCTTCGCTTTAAAATTGCGCCTATAGTGTCAGCATCGCATTAATCTAATCTGGAAAATAACATAGACCATTACGAAATAATACTCCTGTACTAATAACACATTCCCTCTACCAGAACATTCCCTCCACTATAAACCACACGATTGTTTAAATTATTAACATTTATAACACGACTTACCATTTGTTATTTAACCAAGTTTCAAAATAACCTACACACAGACAGAGGGGATTCTAAACCTAGAATTTTCACACAAAAAAGAGGTATTCTGACCGCTTTCTATAATAAAATTCATCAACGGTTTCTTAATTTCTATGCTATTCCACTGACGTAGATAATACAAATATGTTATTTTTTCAGGAGAGGATGCGTTTCCAGAGGGGGTAACTGTGACCACAGTCCCAATGATTGCTGCCCATCAACCTCCTGCCGTTGTAATCTCTGGGGCGCCAACTGCAGGTGTCAAAGGAAAGGAGTGTTCCAAAATTGGGGCTAGTACTCTCCTTAGCTGCTTCTCTGGCAACTTCACACAAATGTGACAAAAACGTACAAAAACACCGTTTGTTTCGTGGCATTTATGTTGTATTGTGGTTGTATAGTTTGAAATAAATGTTTAATTAAATTGTGTGATTTTTATTTTAGTTCGAAAATTTTCAAGGTGTTTTTTACGTTTTTATATCAAACGTATTTCATATTACGTGTGTTTAAGGTGAGTATCAGTTAAATATTATGGTGTATAGCTTGGATAAATAAATTATAACTTTTGTCTAACCCTCAAATGCGAATTTATAGCTTTTCCGTTGAAAACTATAAACACACACACTACACTACACACTATCTATGATAACACGTATCTATGAATTGGTGGCAAATAAAAATAAATATAAAACAAATATAATACCCCTGCCGCAACAAACCTGCAGACTAAGCGAATTTCCGTTTGCCTGATTGGATTTACACTAAAATGTCTCCTTAAAAATATCACATTTATTCCATATTTAAATAACACTAGTTTAACGATTACCAAATTTCATCAAAATTGGATGATTTTTGCTCGAGTTATTGCGCTAGCGGACACACACACATATATATATATATATATATATTTAGGGAAATTTGCTAAAATAATGAATTTAAATAAAACACTTTAATTACCAGGTAAAAAATATTTTGCTGCAGTTAGTATTAACTACCCTCGGTGCGAGTGTAGGTTCGGATGGTCCGGTAGTGTGCTTCGAGCTGAAGACAGGCTCGAATCCTGTAAAACACCAACTGCTTTTGGCATTGTGATATTGCCGTAACAAGTTGGTTTGGAGCCCAGCTTATGCTTAAACAAAGATAAATAAAAAATAAGTCTCCTATGAGAAGCTCTATCTAGAATTACTCTTTACTCTCATTACAAAAATGCGGCAGTACGTTTCAAAATTTGCATACCTTCTGCTAGTTACTCCAAAATAAAATATCCCAACCATTACTAACATTTTCCAATTTAATTCCGTCAAGTCAACAAGACTAGGCAGTAAGCCGTCAATTAGTTAATGTGTGTCCGCGGTTGGATTGTACTAGTAACATGTTACAAGCCCGTGGGCCGTGGGGGGGGGGGGGTGATGGGGGGGGGGGGCTAGGGTGTGCGTGGGTGCGAGCTAGGGGGGTGCGCACCACAGTAGAAGCCCTCACACTTGCCCGAGCCCCCAAGATGCGCACTTCGTTGGGTTTACTTCTAGTTGCTCTGCTGCTTCTAGCCCTTTCCTTAGCCCAAGCCGAACCCGCACCCTCATATTTTGATGACGGTTAGTACTTTCAAACATCCATCCACTCAATTTGTATCCATTTAAAAGCTGTCAGTGCAGTTTAATTGTTTTAAAACTTTTTTTCGATATTGCAAACAATGTGTTAGTTGTTACCAACAATGTGTTATGTTATTTTGAATGTTCACATCGACAAAGACCGTTAGAAATAGAGAAAATAGGCTTTCATTCACCATCAGCAAAAGGGGGGATTGTCATATGGAACGCTGTTTTGAGCTGCGATAGTTTTGTTGTGACATTATTTTTTTTAGAAATGCTTTGGGACCTCTGTGTTTCACCACTTTCATTCTAGGCAGCTCAATATAACTGAAAAACATAATTTATAACACCCTAAAAACTAAATGTTTCAATCACACATCAAATTATGGTAACCTATTACTTTTAACCAAACACTTAAAGCGGTAAAAAGTAATTTATAAACACTAAAAGTTATTTTCTTAGAACAATATTTTCAAGATAATATTACATAAGATCAATTACATTCTCTCTTGAGGACAAAAACTATAAGTTATGTATTTTACACATTTTTATCCATGTTTTATCTTAACCTTGTACTATATTGAGGATATTTCAATTTTCTATACAGCATAATTATATCATTATGAAACGTTTCTTCCCGTAGGTTTGCAATTTTAACCCAAATATCTGAAGGTTTCCCAAACGAATATTGCAATTTGTTTTGTAATTGATTAGAATTTATAAAAGATAAATCAATGATTGAAATCATTGGCAATAACCTCTAAGCCAACGGTAAGTGACCAATACCAACAATAAATTCTAAACAAAAATTTAAATAATGTTCCTGACCAGGTAAAATTCCATAAACAATTAAAATTAAGGTTTATTTATTGCCAATGTTTTCATAATTAATATTATAAATAATAACCAATGATAAGAGGTAGCATGTCATAAGGGTTTTTACAGACATGTAAAAATAAGAATGTCAAAAACGGAACATAGAAATGGATACTCTTTTAGTTCAGCGACTTACATGTAGAATTTATGTGACACCTTTGATATAATATTCATAAAGTTTTCTATTTCGCGTAAAAGAGGGAACAAGCTGACAACTTTCTTATAGTCTTACATCATATAAAATATTTGTTCACTGTTCATGCTTCCTTGCTTGTTATAAGCTTGTAAAGCCACGAGTACTCTATTTCAATATTCTTTGATGGCAGCAAATTCATTTAAAAAACACTAATATATATATATTAAAACAAATTATAAAATATTATATAACATACATTTTGCTACATATACGTAACGTAAATACATTTCCCTAATGATAATGTATTGTGAAATGTATTTCTTTGTTATCAAATATATATTTTTTAAATTAATGTGTTCTTATTAAAATTGTACTTTCAAACAACTTGAACTCGTTAATAATTTAAAGAGCATTCCAAAGGGAAAACAGTAGTCACATATATTATAAAACAAGAAATTACCCTAACACCTGCATTACTGAAAAAAATTAAAATAAATACTAGACACATTTCTATTTCTACTTCCAATATTTTTAGATTTTACCTAGTTCCCCTAGTTAGTGAAGGTTGGTAGCTTATCAAAATTTAGGTTTCACTAAATGTTGTAATGAAAGGATTTTTTTATTTGGTTTACACAAGAGACTAAAAATAAGTGTGAACTTAAACATTTTTGAGATATTAATAATCCAATAAGATATTAGAAACGATGCGGATGTCAATCTGATTAATGATAGGGGTTTTTTACTTACTTAATTATAAGACTTATTTAGGACTTACTTCATTATATACAGCAAAACAAAAATGCTAAAACTTAAGGCTACATTTGGTAATAAAAGAACTAATTGTCCTTAACTGATATCTACAGGGTGTCCCAGAACTCTCTACCAATATTTTAGGGCATTGATCCTGGGTAAGAAACATACCTAAATATCATATTTAAATTGTCCGGAAGTCCTTAGTTACTCACACAGCCGCCATTTTGTTTTTTCAGTTATTATTTTTTTTCTAAAGAATGGTTAAACATACGAAATAGAAACTTTGCACAAACATTTATGACAACTAGACAAAGCTACCAAAAAATTATCAAAATTTTTTAAATTCATAAAACAAAATGGCGGCCGGCTAAAATTTTTTGTAAAATCAATGGTTTTTGAGTTATTTAATAAAGAAAATTTTAAATGGCCGCCATTTTGTTTTATGAATTTGAAAAATCTTCAAAGTTTTTTTGCAGCTTTGTCTAGTTGTCATAAATGTTTGTGCAAAGTTTCCATTATGTATGTTTAACCATACTTTAGAAAAAAATTAATAACTGAAAAAAACAAAATGGTGGCTGTGTGAGTAACTAAGGACTTCCGGACAATTTAAATATGATATTTAGGTATGTTTCTTACCCAGGATCAATGCCCGAAAATATTGGTAGAGAGTTCCGGGACACCCTGTATAATGAATAATCCAACAACCTCTTATTTCACTGAATGTAATTTCGTAGAACATTAAAATTTAATACATATATAAAATAATTGAAAAGACAGTTTTTAAAGAAAAAGGCTGTAAGACTCTATGAATATCGATCTTATTGGATTGAATTCTGAGAGAAAAATGTAAACTTAATTTGTTGAAGCAATACGTAAATATGTTTTCGAATAAATGTCTGTTGACTACATTACTATATTATATTTAATTTACTTTGGTGCTACAAAGCTTTTAGGCTTAGCAGTAGTGACAGAATGATTAATAAACGTTTTTTGAACCATTTTTGTAGTCACTTTTGTTTGTATGTTTTAAGATATTTAGTGTAAAATCCACTCTTGCTTAGAAGTTTTTAATCAAAAACATATATTTGTCTACTTTTCTACTAATACTATGAATTTTTAGAGAAAAGCTTAGAACATGAAGTGGTTGAAATATATAGCTACAAAATAAAAATATTCCTATAATGTGGCATGACAGTCTAGAGAATCATAACTTATTGTGGCATATGTGAGGTTTTCTTAGTTTTAATTTTGTATATTTTATAAGTAAAACAACATATTCAGACGTGTTGATGAGATTGTAATAAAAATATTAGAACGAGACTGATATATAGAAGCGTCGGTCCGATTTAAATCTTGCCAAAAAAATCCCCCCAATAGGGGGGGAGAAACAAATTCATAAACACAAGAAGCGTCTCTGTATTTCAGGGTTTTTAGTCATGGAATGTCAATTTCCCAATAATAATGGGATTTTTTAAGCTTTTATAATAATACGTTCACAAAAGATATCGATATTAAGGATATGATGTATTAACCATCCAGAGTTGTGAAACGGATATTATAATTTTACCTAATGATTTTCAGGCATGAATAGCTCTTAATAAACATAACCAAGAAACTGTGTATTTAAAGTTGATTAAAATGAGTGTGCAAAGTGGAATTGTAGGTTCAAGCTGTGGGAGGAGATATACATAATACGAAGGCTAATCTTGCGGTCGTGTTACTCATTTTGACGATGATCACGTGAAACCCTTCCTGGTTAGTAAACCACATTTACCTTTCAAAATAAACGCATTTAGATTCGAAAAAGATCATACAGGACATCTAAGCCCGTTTTCTTAGTAAAAAATACATAAATGTATGCATCAGTCTCTGGCCGTTTTAAATTTACGGTTCTATTTCTTCAAAAGAAATATTTAATATTTAATAACTTATATTTTCATAGAGTTAATGGCTATAAAAAGTTGAAATTTGATGAGAAATCAATTTGTGATTAAAAGCTGATTTTGAAGAGCTAAGAACAATCCTATGATTGACTGTAGTACTTGGGTTTAATTCTATCATACGGTAAATGTTTTTCATTGTTTTACTATCATATTCCACCAGCATACATATTTACAGTTTTCTCAGAAAATTTCGCTCTTTTTTGCCTGATTTGTAAACGTTTCAGTGTAAATATAGTAGAATTCGTGTACTTAAAATCAAAATGACTAACTACTGACTAATATACTGTGTAGTTAGATATTTATTAAGTCAATGTTTGAAGTATAAAGAAGATTTTCCTTTTTTTAAGTTCTTTACGAACTTAAAAAAAAAGAGTTAGAACTCCTGTGTTGATGTCAAAGATAAACCTAATTAAGCTGTAGAAACTTCCATTTAACCTGAACTTATAACTTTGTTGAATGCTTTAAACTGGTATCTTACGATATAATAATTATGTTTTATTAAAGTAAATAAGAACCTTTACTTTATTTAACAAAAACCCACATAATGTTTCTACGTCGTTGATATAGGTAATATTAAATACTAGCGACTGATGCGATGACCATCTTGATTCTTTGGCAACGTACCATTCATTATTTTACGTATTTTTTTTTTTAACCCAACCCCTTCCCTAATGTACAGCAAAAATGCAAACGTCTAAATAAGCTACAGTTGAAAACTATGTTTTGTACATCATACAGTAAATCTCATCTAGTTTTATGTAATTTAAAGTCATTTAGGTGCTTTACATAATTTAAAGTAATCTTGCGGGTTTTAGAAAAATGCAATCAAACGAAAGGAAATTCTGGCCTATCCTTACCAAAAGCTACACAATAAACCCACAAGTTAAGTTGCACTGTAAAATAGCATACTACCACAGATATATACTTAAGTTTAAGTAAATAATATCTACCCTTGGAGAGTTTCTGCGTATACAGTACTTTGCAAATACATTTCTCTTGATATGTTGTATGTGGTGTGTTTGCAGTGTGCTGTATTCTAAACAGGTCTTAAAAGAAATCACCGACTCTATATTTTCCTTAATCAACTAACATTTTCTCAAAAGGCCTTGCTCAATACCAGGTGAAATGTAGTGCCGCAAATACTTTATAGACAGGAAGATATTTCTTTAAAATTTTAGAACATTAGTTTTGTAATTTTGGCATTTTATTTACTAAAATAAGCAACGGTTTTTCAATAATACTGTAATAATACGTAAAACTTTAAACACCTTTTTTAGTCTATGGATCACTCCTAA